ATAAATATGGGTAGATTTTTTTTCTACTATTGATGATAGTTTTTTTTCATTCAGAAATTCACACACCTTAAAATTCATTCAATGTGTAAAATTCAGTGGTTTTAGTGTTTCCACTTAGTTGTACAAGCATTACCACGATCTAATTCCAGAATATTCTCACCCCCAAATCCCATATCCATTAGGCATCGTGCCTCACCCCACATTTGCTCTTCTCACAGCCCCCAGCAACAATGATTTTTTAAAAGATGTATTTATTTATGCCTTCAGAACAGGGGTACAGGCCAGAGGTGCAGGGGTGGTGAATGGATTCACCAGAGACAGAGCGGGAGGCAGAGCAGGCAGGTGGAAGAAGTACACTGCCGAGGGGAGCAGCAGGCGAGACAGGAGAGGTCTGCGGTGCCATGTGGATCACCTCCGGGGTGGGGGATCACTTGCAGCTCTGTGCCCTAACTCGTTGGGCCACCAATGAATTTTTAACAGGGTGGTTCCCAGGGAAAGGGAAGTTTCCAGGTTCCCTGCTTCACCCAAAGGAGGGTGAGCTGAGCAGGGAGGGGGAGAAACTGGAAAGGAAGCTGGAGGTTGATGGAAGAGAGATGGAGAGCCAGAGGAGATCTGGCAGAGGCTCCCTGTGAAGTTCTGCTTGCTTCTCAGCCCTGGACTTGTACCAGGATCTTGGGGGACATGGAAGAATATTCTTGAAGCAGACTGGGTGAGAGACCTGTAGGGAGGTTAACACTGGCAGCGCTTATTTTGATTTTGGTCTTTCTGTCTGGCCATTTCTACCCCTTTCCTATGGGTCCCCACCAGAAAATGCTTTAGACTGGTGGCAAATTTTTGGGTTTCAGCAGCCCTGCTTTGGGTCAACCCTTTTTGGCTGGGTATTTACCTTCAAGTAATGTGTAACTTATTATTATTATTTAAAAGAATTTATTTTTATTTATGCATACAGGAAATGGGGTACAGTCCAGAGGGTGAGAGGCTTCACCTGACAGAGTGGGGAGCAGAACAGGCAGATGTACTGAAATATACCGCTAAAGGGAGCCGCAGGCAGGTCAGGAGAGGAATGCTGTGCCAGGTGGTCACCTCCCTGGCCAAGGATCGAACTCGTACTGTAGTATCTGCAGACAGCCTCCAGTGCTGTGCTATAACCCAGTGTGCCACCACAGAGGGCCCATTGGGTAACTTCAGATGCTTGATTTGGAAAGCATTTTATCCATTCTTTCCCTATCTATTCTTCTCACTTCTTTAAAGTGTTAGTCAAGGCTAGGACCACAGACTGAAAAGGGTAGACATTCAAAGGCAAAATCAAAAGGTGAATTCAGACAAGGAGAGGAGGAGAGAACAAGGGAAAAGGCAACCAGATGTATGTGGATAAAAGAATAAAAACCCAAAAACTATCCAACATTTGTTGTTTGAGTTATGAGACAGGCTAGGCGCTAGCCTCAGTGTAGTACTCTGGCGGGAAAGAAGGAAGGCCTTGTGACAATCCATGTTTATAATGAGTGAGTAACAAGAACACGACTGTAGACAATTCGTTTTTAGAAAGCTTGAGTGAGGATCCTGAACAGAAGAAAGTTCAGGGTAGACAAGAAAGTCTGAGCACAAGTACACTATGTGTCGGATCTGAAAATCATAGGCATGAAACTCCACAAAGCCCCAAACCCTGACTCACAATGATGTTCCATTTTTTAAAAAGATTTATTGATTTATTCATAAAGAACTGGGGTACAAGCCAGAGGTGCAGGGGCAGTGAGAGGATTCACCAGAGACAGAGTGGGGAGCAGGACAGGCTGACTGATGAACTACTCTGCTGAGGGGAGCAGCAGGTGAGGCAGAGAGGTCTGCCACGCCATGTGGGTCACCACCGGGGCTGGGGATCAAACTCACACTGAAGCGGTTGTGGCTCACTGGCATTACTGTGCTTTAACCCGTGGCACCACAGGGAGGGACTGATGTACTATTTTTTAAATGATTTTTTATTGAGGTAGGAATAGATTATTCCATTGCATAATGGCCAGTATACCACATTACAATTTGGCATCTGTATACACTGCATCATGATCACCAACAAGAGTTGAGTTTCCTTCACTCATCACACACTTACCCCGCCTTTACCCATTTCACTTGCCTCCCAGACTCTGGCTGGCTAATCACCAGTCTGTTTTCTGTGCAATGATGTGCTTATTGCCCATAAAAGAGGCTTAACACATTGCTAGCAAACTTTTGATGAGATGGGGGTTTTCAAAAGGACCGGAACAGTCCGGAGTAGCACATTTCCCAACTCTATAACCTATATCAGAAGGCCAAATCCACCACGTGTTTCAAGTTGCTTTTATCAGGGAAATGTGGGTCATCACCCTTTTAGCAAGGACCTTTTGCTATTCAACTTAAAATCGGCAGCATTCTCTGTTGCCAGTGCTTTTAGCACTCTGCGTTCCAGGCTACAGGTTCCTGCGATGACTTTTGGATGTCCGATTTGTAACAGACTCTGACTTGGCCAGCTGCTGAGACTCTTTAGGGTGCTGAGCTGTCGATAAACATCTTCCAGGGAAGTAGGTGTGGGCAGGACCTGCTATTTCCCCCTCATTTAAAGGCTGATGCAGTGAATTCTTCTTGAACAGCCTCTTCAAGTGGCATTCCCAAGAGTTTTAAGGGAAACTGGAAAGGACAAGCTGGCTCTGATCTTCAGAGCTGAGACTGGAGCACTCTCTATCCTAAGTCACAGCAATGCCTGAGCGGGAAACTGCCGTAAACCAGCAATAAGCTCAAACTAGCACCTTCCTAGAGTAACCTTGAGAATGCGAATCAGCCATAATAGTAACACAGCAGAGTATGCACTTGTTTAGCAAATAATCAGGAACTGAGCAAGAAGGCGTGATAATCTGTGCCCAACTCTGACCTCCATGTGAGCACAGCAGCCTGAACCAAGAAGGTATTTTTTACTGATATTGCACATATAGATTCTGACATTCCAGGCTAAGCACTGTCTAGGTTAAGGCGCTGCAAAACATGTGGGACATATGTTTCTGCAAAAAAAGTCATAGCATCTTTCTACAACTCCCCCTGGCCTAAGCATTATAAACCCAGGCCTACCAGAACCTCTGCTGTGCGTTCCCTGTGGCGCTGGTATTCCCACACCCACAAAGCTGCCCTGGAGCACAGCTAGGCATTAACAGAACTGAATGCAATCCAGTTTCACTCAACTATTTACCTAGTGCCACTGGGAACAAAGCACAGCGCAGAAAAAAAATTCAAAGGATAATAAAAGGTTACACACACACACACACACACACACACACACACACACACACACACACACACACACACACACACACACACACACACACACACACACACCACTGTCTGTTTTAGACAATAGAGGCTTACTTCATCTCAGCATCTCAGCTCCCGGTTGAACCACACAACGGTGCTGTGATACGCTAGGCTTTTGGGTCAGCAAACCGAGGCAGCACCTGAGATGTGAGAATTAGAGTCAAAACAATGTGAGCTACAGCTTGGCTGTCCTGTGGTCATGAATCCACACAGCACAGTGTTTTCACTACGCTGAGAGGGTCCTGCCAGGCAGGTCTCAGCTGAAAACCTAGAAAAGGTCCTGAGGACAGATGGACTCACTTTATTCAGAGAAAGAAAAGTTCTAAGAGGATAAGTAAGGCTGGATCAGCCTTACTGGGCATTTAAATTGCACATTGTCTCAGGTGAGCAAGCTCTCTTCACTAAAAGTCAACTTTTTGTTGACTTTAATTTGTTGGCATTTTTCTACTAGATTTATATCATATTTATAAAGAAAAACTCAAATACTACAGCAGGCCTTCTCATTATGTGCTCCTGGTCAAAGAAGCAGAGCTTCAGGGGTGGGAGATGAATTTCTGTTACTGAAGTTACCTGGCCGGCCAGTCTTTAAGGCTTGGGACTCTGTTGTACTTGACATGGCATTATCAGGAACCCAGAGTCTCAAGCAGGACCAGCTAAATACTTTGTGGGATCTGAAGCAGAATGAAATATGGTCCTGTCCTCAAAATATTTAAGAAATTCAACAGAATGACAGCTGAGCACTGAACCAAATGCAGGAAGGACCCTCCTCAGCGTCAGCTCCCCTGTGACTGTAGAGGCCACACTCCCACACAACGGCCTTTGCTCTCAATCCAGGCTGCTAGGCTTGAATCCTGGCTTTGTCACTTACTAGTCAGGTGATTCTGGGCATATCTTTAAGTAGGGGATAGGAATAGCCCCCACCTCACTGAGATGTTCCTATGATTAAATAAATTAACATTGGAAAAGCATTTTGAAACACCTGGCATATAGCAAGCACTATATGAATAGTAAGTATATACTCTGTTGAGCCTAAACATCTCAAAATATCAAAGAACTATAAGCATGACATTATGAATTTACTAAAACATTTAAAAAAGTGTTTTGATGAGATGGAATAAAGAACAAAATGATGTAAAACTATTATATTATTTTAAAAAAATGTTTTGAGGGTTTGGATTCCAGATCAACAGAATCATATTTTTATTACTATGACAATGGTCAATTTTTAATGTATTTGAATAAAACAAAAGATTTTCAAAAGGAATTCTGGATTGAGATTAACTACACAAAGCAAGACTGAAGAACAAAATAAAGATACTGGTTTATGCTTATGGTTCTGGAATTTTGTGGAGTGTAAATTGCCATGAATTCAAGCTAATAGAAAGTTTCCTTTATGCTGAAAAATTGAGCAGTGACTTCACTGCTGCCATACAGGAAATAAAGCCTGCTGTAGCTGAACGAAACAAAAAAATCCTTCTTTTTCTTTCCTCTTGACAATGGAAAATGCTTTGAAAAAAGTGAGGCTGTTGCATAGGAAATTCAAACTTTATATGTGGTTCTAAAAAACATTTCACTAAAACAAACCAGAAGGTCAGATCATGCAGTGACAGATACTTTTATATAGAAAGGAAAGTGCACAGAGACACAAATACTTCGAAGCTTATTAATGTCTGTTTTATGAGTAGCCTTGTTTTTTATTCTTGATTACCAGAAATTCTCAGGACTTTCAAAAGCCTTTATACAATAAACATATATTCTTTTCTCCCTGCCCATTACAGTATTGTTGACTGCAGTTGTCATTGTCAGACAATTCTCCCAAGGTACACAGATTTGGGATATTTTTCTTTAAGTGCTGGCCACTGAACAATGAAGAAATCGGAGAGGTGAAACAGAATCTTTCCAGACAGGGATAAATTTTCTACTCGGCAGATGCTTTCGACATAGACAATGATCACTTTCTTTATTCCAAGTATCCCAAGGAGAAGAGCAGATATACAGATAGGAACACATGTTCCTGGTCCGTTACACAGCACCTTTAAAACAAAAAAAAAAGGTGAAGGTCAAATTAAAATACAGAATACTAGTCAATATGAAGCATTTAGAATTGAAAACAGCCAAAACTTAGAGAAGATTTTGAATTATCAAAATCGTAAATTCTTCCTTGTCAAGATATAGCAAGTAACAAACATACACATAGGGCCAGGCAGGGCTGTGTGGTTGGTTGATGGAGCTCAGGCAGCCAACCCATGTGACTGGGGCAAGTCACTTAACCTCTGTCCTTGTGGCCCCTGTGTGTGCTGCAGGAGGGGTCTAGAAGAGCCGTGGGCTCTCTCCAGCCGCTACTGTTCTCCAACTGCTTTGTGCATTTCAAACATCACACACACAAATAGGAAACAAGGGCCTCCCTGGTGGTGCAAAGAGTTAAAGTGCTGCAGCATTATGAAGTTATCCACAGATGCTACAGCACAAGTTCAATCCTTGGCCAGGGGTGTGACCCACATGGCACCACAGACCTTTACCATCTCACCCACTATCTCCTGGCCCACCCACTGCTCCCCTCAGCAGTGTATTTCAGTGGATCTGCCTGTTCTGCTCTCCACTCTGTCTCTGGTGAACCCTCTCACCCCCCCCCCACCTCTGACATGTACTCCAGTTCTTGTATGCGTAAGCAAATAAATCTTTAAAAAAAAAAAAGGAGATAAACAAAATCACCTGTGATTCACTGTTTTCACATGTACCAATTTGTTCTCATTGATTTTGTTTTTAAAGATTTATGTATTTATTTATTCATATAGAACTGGGGTACAAGCCAAAGGTGCAGGGGTGGTGAGAGGCTTCACCAGAGACAGAGTGGGGAGCAGAACAGGCAGATCAATGAAGTACACTGCTGAGGGGAGCAGTGGGTGGGCCAGGAGAGGTCTGCCGCACCATGCAGATCACCTCCAGGACTGGGGGATCAAGCTCACACTGAAGAGGCCGCAGACAGCTTGTAGTGCTGTGTCCTACTCCGTTGCGCCACCAGGGAGGGCCTTTTTTCTCATTGATTTTTAAAAATAATCTTTACGGGCCCTCCCTGGTGGCGCAGCGGGTTCAAGCACTGCACTGAGAATCTACAGCCGCTTCCGCATGAGTTCGATTCCCGCCTGCCCCGGAGGAGATCCACATGGCGTGGCAGACCTCTCCTGACCCGCCCGCTGCTCCCCTCAGCAGTGTACTTTGTCAATCTGCCTGTTCTGTTCCCCACTCTATCTCTGGTGAAGCCTCTCACTGCCCCTGAGCCTCTGGCCTGTACCCCAGTTCTGTATGCACAAATAAATAAATCTTTAAAAAAAAAATCTTTACTCTAGTTGGAGCACCAACCTGTTAAAAAGCCTCTAAAATATAAATTATGTAGAATAAGTTTAGTAGGTCAAACCACCAAGTGGGATAGATGAGAGAAGGCTATTCAATGAATGAGATTTTCTTTCAAGAGAATTTAATCTATGCTCATACTCCAGAGAGTTTTCATGCTTTTGAATTCTACTAATTTTTGTAGAAAGTCATTGGTTAAAAATAATTTAAGTGGTTTGGAGTGGGGGGAATTGAGGAGGTGCTGTTTGAAGGTACAAACTTGCAGTTAGTAGATAGTTAGTAGATAGTAGTAGCACTAATACACAGCATAGTGATTACAATCAACAATTCTGTATTGTAAGCTTCAGTGTTGCTAAGAGACTAGATCGTACTCTGTGTAGAAAAAAGAAATAATAATGTGATATGATAAAGATGTTAGCTAATGTTACTGTAGTAATCATATTGCAATATACAAACACATCAAGCCTACCACCTTGTAGATCTCAAACTTACACGTTATAAGTCATTTATACTTCAACTAAGAAAAAACAAAAATAATTTAGTTGGTGAACCTAACAAGAAAATTGTAAACTTAACTCACATGACAACCAAAAAGGATTTTTTATAAATTTTTTAAGAAAATGAAAACAAACTTATTTCACATAGTTAGTAAGGTAATTTATTAGCATTTTCAGAGGGAGAAAGCATTTTTGACATCTTAGTCACATGCTCATGTTGCCTGAATTAGTTTAACCTAATGAAGTACTTAATACTCCATAACGCATAAACTAGTAGATTGGCAGCTGTCTACCCATGTCTACAGGGCATGATCTACAGTGTCACATATTTTTCCAGCACGGGGGCCTTAAGTGTATTAAACATCACAAAGTTTAAAAACTGAAAGAGTCTCCAGATACACTGTTTACCCTCCTGACATTTCAAAGACATTCTGTCAGAGCTGTAAGGCATGATCAAGTCCCTGAGGGTAAGAGAGTAATCCCGTGAATGCAGGCGCTGTCCTTCCCGGAGGTGAGATCACTGGGCACACAGTTTCAGGTGGGAGTCAGACTCTTTTACAAACCTGCCTTAAAATTCCTACCTACAATTCCAGCTCCCTGCCTTTGGTAGAAAACATTCGTTCTGACTTTGTCTTGCACTGCCAGCTTTTAAGCTGCTCTCGAGATGTTCTCCCGTAATCTCCCTTGACTGCCCTTTTAACCTATCTTCTCAGCCTCTCCAGGCAGGGTAGCAGAAAGACAATGGGACTGAGCGTCAGCACAGGGGGAAACAAGCTGGGAATTAGCACAGGCAACAACAGCCACAGTCATCACCACCTTGGCCCTCACCGCCATTTATTAACAACTCCACGTGGACAGATGCGGTACCAAGCATTTCGCATCTACTATTTTAATTAATTCTCACAGTAACCATCGGAGGTAAGTTTCATTATCTCCTTTTTCAGAATAGGAAACTGAGTGTACAGAAGGCCAGAGGCTCAATCACACCTTTAGGAGGTAAAGGTGTTCTGTGGCTTCAGGTCACTTTTTTTTCCTGTGACTATTACTGATGTAGAAAACAGGAAGACTGGACTAAATGATCGTGCCTGTTTGCTCCAGGATTATATAATTCGATGACTAAATAGCCCCTAGTTTTGTCGTCAGCCTAAATTACAAGCTTGAGCTCAGTCCCTTCAGGGTTTAGAATTCTAAAAATCCTATGAATGCAAGGTTTCTCAAGAGTGGCATTTACATTTTGGAACAGACAGCTTTTCATTGTGGGTCCCGTTCTGTGCCCTCCAGCGTGTTCAGCCGCATCTTTGGCCGCCACAAGATCCCAGGAGACAAGAAAATCTCCAGATATTTCCAAATGTCTCCAGGTGAAGACCACTGTGTTAATGTCTTCCCCAAAACTAGATTATTTGTGTTGCTGTTCTCAATCTTCTTTTTTCTCTAGTACAGAACAAAACATAACCCACAGCTTAAAAAGAATGTATTGCTTCCTTCTTGGATCTTGAATGTCACAAAAATACTTCACATTTATTGCCTTTACAAAAAGTGTTTGTGCCCATGCCTTCATTTCACTGTGTGGTCAGTCCTCTCTCATACACTGATGAGGTGTCTGTATATCAGAGGGGAGATGCCTGGGCCTTGGTGGGGGATGGATTAACCACCTGACATAGACCAGAAGCAGAGACTGTTAAGGTGAAAGTAGAAACGAAAGGGAATTTGCTTGTTATCTCTGTTGAATTTCTGTATTTTGAGTTGTCTTACTATAGAAAGTCATAGGCACAATAAAACCACAAACCAAACATTAAAAAAAAAAAAAGCAAACTAATTTCAAGAAAAAATTAGACTCGGGAAAGCTAATTTTAATTACGTATCGGTTTTATTAACTCTGACTTTTATAGCAGCCTAAGCAAAACATTTAAAAATTGTGGATTATGGAGTTTCCACTACTTAAGGAGGCATACCAGAGAGACTTATTCCAAGCATTGAACAAAAGAGAATTTGAGATGATCTGACCAAAGATGTATTTATGACATAAATATAATACTTGGAGCTGTCTTTTTAATATTTATATTTCCATCTCTTAAAATAGAAAATCTCAAGCAGCCTGGGTCCATGTCCCTGATCACCTCTTTGCTTCACTACTTTGTCTTCTGGGAAGAGCCAGCATCTAGTACAATCCCTACTCTGTACCTGGAACAAAATAGGCCCTCACTAAATTTTCTTGATAGGAAGAGGCAGGAGTGAGAAGGTAAGGGAGGTGGGAATCCTTTGTCTATTGTGTATAGTCAAATGCTTCCTTTGTCTGACTTGACCCTGTTTGTAGCTATCTGAACACACTTATCAGACACACCCATATACTTGGCTGCCATAATGACTGTCATTGAGAGCTTGCTTTGAAAATTATTGCCATTTTTTACCATCCCAAACCTGCCCCTTTTTCCTCAGGGGAAATTTCGTGATGCTTGCTATCAATTTTAGGGTTTGAGTAGAACTGACTCTACACCCAGCTATAATGAGAGGACATATGATTGTAGTCTGGCCAATCACAGCATCACATCCCCCAGCACAGTCTTCAGGGAAGAGCACATAACCCAGTGGGAAACCCCAAGACACAGTGGGACTTTGGTTGGGGCTACACGTTTTCTACTGTGTCGGAACCTCAGAGGATGTGGACTTGGTACTGTGGACATCTCTTTCCATATCTTAGAGTCCTTCAGAATGAAACCATCATAAAGCAGGGAAGAGCAGAACTGAAAGAGGAAGACAGGCCAGATCCCAAAGGTAGTATTAAGCTCTATGAGTCCAGCTGCATCTGAAGGAAACCAGATCTGCCCGAGACTTGCCAGGTACATGAGTGAATACATTCCATTTTCACTTAAGCCAGTTTGAATCAGGACTTCTGTCACAAGCAACATGCTCTAACTGGAACAGCACTTTATTTTGTGTAGTTCCCTGACTAGCCTCTGACCATCTGCTGTGCCAACTGGTAGATATAATATGGGTCTGCTGGGAGAAATAACAACTCAACAAGTAAATTTTTCTGAGAGAAGGAAATTCAAGACATGTACCAAAGATAGGTTCTAGAAAACAGAAAGAGGTCAGCAGTATAAACATGAAGTCATGAGAGCAGATGAGTCAAGTCAAAGATCAAGAAGACTAAGAAAAGGATTGTTATTCTGCATATTTGCGTCAGG